GCATGAGCTCATTAGGATGGTGGAGCAGGCCGGTTTCGTCGCCTCCAAGCCCGGCCGAACTCCTCGCTCTCGGCCCGGCGCTGAACCCAAAGCCCTCGGCTCGCTCTCCCAGCAGGACGTCTCCGTTCTCAAAGCCGTGTTGACTGCGGGTCTGTATGACAGCGTGGGCCGTATCCTCTGCTCTCCCTCTCTGGACGTTCAGGAGCGGGTGGTGTGTGTGGCTGAGACGGCTCAGGGAAAGGCTCACGTTCACCCCTCCTCAGTCAACCGCTTCCTACAGACCCACGGTTGGCTGCTCTTCCAGGAAAAGGTGCGTTGGACTAGCTTTAATATATTACTGTGACCTTTCGTGACACTTCTTGAAAAAAGTCTCTTATTACCTTGGTCACTCATACATTTGTGACTTGAACCACTATTTTCTCATCTTGCCTACAGGTGAAATACACTAAGGTGTTTCTAAGAGACACTACGTTGATCTCTCCTTTATCCATGCTGCTGTTTGGAGGTGATATTGACGTGCAGCACAGGGAGAGACTCATCTCTCTGGATGGATGGATCTACTTCCAGGTGAGGGAAGCGTGTCTTGTTTCTCATTGATTGTCTATGCTTGGTTGTTTGCCTTGATTTGCATTGATCGCTTCATTGGCAAGAGCACTGATGCGTCATAAAATGGTTGTCAAACTGTGAGATAACTCTAATAATAACAGTTAACACGGTTTCATTTCCCATCAGGCTCCAGTCAGAATTGGCGTGATCTTCAAACACCTTCGCAAACTCATCGACTCCCTCCTGGAGAGGAAATTGGCCAACCCCAAAATGAATTTGGAAGGTAACTTATTGTTGAATATTTTATTTTATTTGATATATTTATAGAACAAGGGTGCAGATATGATGCCTTTTATTTGTATCCTTTTCAGATGAGAAAACCATACAAATCATCACAGAACTGATCAAGTCAGAAAACATGCTCTGATCTATGAATTACTGAAATTGAGGGGTGAGAATGTCAATTATATTGCCAAACCAGAATAAAAATATTTTAAGACAAACAAAAAGTTTGTGGTATTCTTTAAAGCCATTATCATAATAGACTGACAGGGTGGTGTTGTTG